CGCCATCCCGGCCCGCGGCCCTCCCGGCCCTCGCCGCTGCCGTCTCGGTACTGCTTCGGACAAAACCTGTGCCGTAAGCGGGCGAGCTCGCATGCCGCCCTCCGCCTCAGGGACAGCGGAGCGGCGATTTGTGTTTCATACCCCGGGGTACGAAACACAAATTTGTGTTTTTGACCCCGAGTGTGCGGGCAAGCGCCGGTGTCGGTGGCCTCAGCGCTGGTAGGGAGTGCCAAAGCCGCAATGCCTCTGCCCCGCGGAACTCAGGCTGCCCTTGGAAAGGGTGTCCCTGGCCTCGGGGGACACTGCACCCACGAGAGCACTGTGCTCTGAAGCAGTGCTTCAAAAATGACTTGATTTTAATAGAACGTTTTGTATTTTGTTGAGATTTTCACCCACTGAAACACCAATTCAGTAATTTGTATAGCTCGGCCTACCTGTACACGTTACTTTATCTGCCATAAGCTTTATTCGATGTAAATATTTCACAAAGCTCACTGATGGCCTTAAAGCTAATTTTCAAATACCAAGTTTTCTACAGAATTTTTTTATTAGAAGGACCCAAATTAGCACAGGCTGCTCTAGCAGGGAAATTTTTAAAGAAATACAGTGTGTGAAGAAAAAATAAGGAAACCAAACCAAACCCACATGGGTACGTGTGCCACCCAGGCTAATCAAAATTGTCCCGAGAGCAAACCGAGCAGCTTTTAAGTTTGCTGTAGTATTTCAAGAAAAACACTAAACGCCAGTAAGGATAATAATAAAATTACAGCAGATCTCAAGCAGTATGTTGTCTCAACAATCGATTCCAACTTCTCAAGTAAGTTTAATTTTTCTGATAAAATAGCAGAGTATGTCTGACAGGTAGAAGAAGAAATAGGATGTACATGTCAAGCTGCTCTCTAGAGATCATTCAAAATGCATGCCTCAACCAAGGTGTGATACCCATGTTACCATCCCAGAATGAGGTGTTGCATCTTAGAAAGGCAATTTTGTTGCTAGATTGACGTGCTCCAAGTTTCGAGTTTTAACAGACTGAAGTAGTATGTTGATTATCACAAAAACTTACTTATAGCCTCAAAGCTATTGCTGCTATGTATAGCATCAATATATTGGTGGCACGCACAGGAACACGGATATGTGTTAATTCATCAATATCCAGTATTAAGTCAGTAAATATAAATGAGCTTCATACATTCTGTAAACAAGTTTAATTCAAAATTTTTATAAAATACATATTGTATTTACACACATACCTCATCTAAAAATATGAGTTTGTTGAATGCAAAGTTATTACAAACTATCAGATTCATTTGAGAGCTGTTTGTATGATTCTTGCACAACATATGCAAAAAGTGACCCTAAAGATACTAAGATTAAAAGGTGCAAATCTGCAATTGGGTACAAAATATGTACTATGTTAAGTGCATATCTACATTGCATATTACACATGTGCCAAGTCTGTGGAAAGGAACAGTTAAAATTCCAACTATAGATTTCATAGAACATTATTGGAAAGGGAGGTATTTGGAGATTCAATAGAACATTTTTGCATCCTTTTGATATTCACAGTCAGTTCAGATGCACAGAACACCTCATGAACAACTGTGCAAAGAGAAACTAAGTTCAAGGCTGTCTGACAGCCTAGTAACCTAAATGTGTTCTTGCCTTTCACCCTTATGGGGACAGAAGTTAAACATAATCACAGGGGCTGGGTGGAGGCTCATAACAATAGTTGGATATTCCTGTTAAAAAAGAAACATAAGTCATGAGAAAAAGAGGTAAAATCAGATTATCATGCAAGATTCTAAAGCTAATATGTTTTTTTTTTAATACACTGCAACTTCCCTTTTTTTTTTTTTTTTTTTTTAGAATATGGTACGAATGCTCTCAAAACACTTGTAGATAAGATATTAGCTGCTGGTGGTATAAATTGGTTTAGTATCACTTTGCATTAATTCCACCACAACTTATTCAGAAATCAAAAATCAGGTGGAAAGTCCATCACTCTACCAACTTTTCTCTTTTTATATATTACAAGCTCAAGTATTACAGTACAATTTATGTGCAGCACTAAACTCAAGTAGCTCTGTTTAAAACCAACACAAGCATCAGCCAGAAAAGCAGACTGAATAAGCTAAAGGTTTGTGGGAGAGCTGGAATTTAATTATGTATTTTGCATCAGTAATGACTGGAAAAAATAAGTTACCAAGCTGGCTAGTTACACAGTCTAAAAAGCTGAAAAACTACAGTTCTTGTATGGAAATATGTCCATCAAGGATCCAAGACAGCCCTTGTTATTACCTTCTCACTTGATTTTTATTTGTAGCTTTAAAAAAAAAATTAAAAATTGGGGGGGTGGGGAGAATGGGAAATGCTTTTTTCTGTGGCCAGAAAAATAAACCCCAAACCTTCAGAGCTGTTTGTTGATACTAAATCCTGAAGATTGCAAATGCCTATGTTAGTACCATAGAAAGTGAACTTCAGTGGACTTCCCTTGTGAAGAAATATTACCATAAGGACCATTATATAAGCAATCAACACAGTACACAGGAAATATTTAACATGTCATCACATTATTACATAATCCTTGGAGAGTCAAAATTAGCAAGACTGTAACTGTTACTAAGGCTGTAACTCTGCCTTGTTTAGTGGAGGGAGAATCTGGCCTTCCAAATCTTTCTTATTTCTCTTTGCAAGGGATTAATAAGATTGGTGGGAAAAAAAAAAAGAAAAAAAGAAGCATGTTAAATACCATGCTATTAAAAGCAAAACAGAGCAAGATGTTGTAAAACATAGTTAGGGAAGCAATATTTTTATTTTGTCATCATAAAATAACATTGTTTAAAGATCACACAAATTTGATAGATCATCTCTTTTTTCTCCAACATTAGGCCAGCACTAGAGTTGAGAAAGGTGTTTACCCATTTCTCTGTAAATTTATACTTTTAAGTAAAATAATTTGATTCTCTAAATATGCACTTTAATTAATTATGTCACACAGTAAATATCTTGCTCCTTTGGTCAGAGATAGTAAATGAAAACTTCAAATATTTGTATCTTCAATTTTTAAAAACCCAATATACATCCTTAACCAAGGAGTATTTACGGTACACACAAGCCATAGATACAAAATACACAGTATATACATGTCTTGAAAACAAATTGGAATTTATAAAAACTCAACAGCCAAATCACAGTAATTGAGGCACTAAATTAAAAGTAGTATCTTCTAGTCTTGATTATACAGATTACTCTGTGAACAATCAGGACTGTTTCATAAATATATATTATCTACAGAATTTGCTGTGCCAAAAAAAGCCAGCTGTGTTTAAGCTCAAAAGAAAAATTGCACTTTGAGATCGTTAACAGTTAACTTCTTATTTTTAATTCTTGAATATAGTAATCTGGTCCCAGTGCTTTTGGCACAGGTATTGAGTTGCAGTTTTGCTACGCTTTGTTATAAAACACAAGGTTCTTTTATTTCGTTCATTAAAATCTGAAGAGTCTTAAACAAACCTAGAACTTTGATACAAATCTATATAGCTACAATTGCTTCATTAAATAATATACACAAATATGCTCTTCCATCTTACATCTCAACAACTGGATACAAAACAGTCACTTGAATTATCTCCAGCCTTCTTAAGCTTACACATTATCAGTCTGCAAGCGACTGAAATACGGTTTCTGGCCACATCTTACACTAGATCACACCCCAGTATATAAGGACAGAAAATAAATGTATAATAAAAAGATTGGATAAATTAGAAGGGGTTTCTTGGTCTTGAATTCTTCTCCAACTAGTAATGATGCAGCACTGTATGCAGCCCAAAAGACTCCAAACAACTGAAAAAGAAGATGAACAGTCTTAGCTGACACCACAAGGAAGTCTCTCCAAATAACACAGTAAAAATCACTTCCCTCAGTATAATACAGAGTCAGCCACAAGAAGTAGTACTTGTCACAGCCCAAGAAGTTATGCCATTTGGGGTTTGTAATGCATTTTCATACTAGTGGTGCAAAGATAAGAACCTTGCAGAGATTCACCCTGAAGTAAACATAAGACTGTTAGTAGTAATCAAGTAACAGAGGTTCCATGAACGTGTATTTATTTTGAAGTTACATATTAGTTAACTGGCAAGTTAATGATTTACATTCTATCATTTATCAGTAATCACAGATTATCAAATCTCAAATACAGCAATTTTGTAACTGATCATACACTCTAGTTGTACTTCAATTATACTGTTTGCCAGCAAGCTAAAGGGACAGAAATAATGAAATCAACAGAACAAACCTCCAGAAAGTGTACAGCTTAGCTCATAACAGAAGTTTATCAGTTAACTTTCCCAGGCTCAGCAGTAACTTCAAAGGCTACCTAAAAGGGTTTTAAGAAGTACTGGAAGTGTTCAAGAGCGTTATGCTGTTCTGGGATCTTTCAGGGAATGTTGCTGGTTCCATAAAAGGTGTCCAGCAGCAGGTGGTATCAGAGGCAGGTTTTTCTTTGTGCCTTACATTCCCCATCTCTAAATCAGAACAATCCTTACCTTCTCTGCAAAGGGTATGGAGAGCTTTGTACTGCTACCACTATGGGGAGGTCTCAGAACAATGACTAACGTCATATTCATGCTGCAGTGGCTAAAAATAATCTGGCTGATGGGGGAAGGGGGAGAACAGCTTATTTTCAGATTCTTCATTCTGAGGTTTAATTATGCATTCTCTTCTCAAAATGAGAATCCCATCTTTTTTGTAATGCAACTATTAGAGCACAGCAAAATACTTAAATACAATCTACTCTAGTAGCAACAGGTGTTGTTATAGCAACAGCACTGTATATCCCCAAGCACTCAAATGGAGCATTTAAAACAGCATTCAATTTCCACCATGCTAACCAAAAGGACCACAGAGCTCAATTTGTAGTTCTGAAAATTTTGACACATCATTATGTTTTCCCCGAGCAGATTACTTGAAGTATTAAGAAAGTGACTTAAAAATAACTAAATTCTCAATAGATGATATGAACTTACTTTTATTAGAGTAGAAACAACTTCAAATGATCCAACCACCAAAAGAACAGGTGCTATGACAATGAGGGGAAGTAGGGAATATCCTATTACACCAAGAACTTGGCCATAAGCAACCTGAAATTTTCAAGCACATAAAAATAAACTTTGCAGTACTCAATCTCTGTCATCAAATACAATTCGTTCTTGTTATAACACTATGAATAACAATTATAATGTATTCTACTCATGAAATTTCAGCTAAAGAAGGCTTGCTAGTATAAAAATTGGTTTTGCATGCTAAACCCTAAAATTAGAAATACTTTGTCTCTTTTTTTTTTCCCCAAAAACACTCTAAATGTTCACTTTCAAAGGAAGCCTTTACATATGATATCCAGGAGCACAGAACTGCAAAAGAGCTCTCAAGGACCATCTATAGTCCTGGTTGTCAAAAGCAGCAAAGACATAATTTTCTGCATTAATAAACTCATATCCATTATACATAAATAAATACATAAAGCACATGAATTTTATTTTTTTTTTTGTGTCAGTGGAAGACTTAAAACTTGATCCCTGTAAGGAATAAAAAAGTAGTGGCATCTCGTAAGCATTTTCTTGTGGATGATGATCCTTCATGACAAGCTCTGCAAACCAATACTTTTTCTCCAGTTTATACATCTGATACTTTCCATTTTGAGCCATAAACCAGATTGATTTGTGGGCATCTGCATTGTGTTGAAATGCAGAAATACCATGCAATCACATTTATAAACACTTTTTCTTTCAAAACAGCATTCACACACAAAGACTCAAGAAATCATGATTAAAAGGAAAATTTTAAAAATGTAGAGTAAATAACATAGGACCTCTGCAACACTGGTGCATCATTAATGCAATATACATAGTACAAGCATAAAAATCAAGCATCACTGAACATTTAGTTCTTCACAACAGAGTTCAATGCTGCAGATCCATGTTAAGAAGTTTTATCCTCCTGACTGCTCCACTGCAGCTGTCTATGGGCCTTGCTCCAAGACATTTTGTGTTGTTTACACCTGAATCGCTTAATGAGTCAATTTGTAAACAGCTCAAGCAACTATTCCAACCCTGCTGGTGCAAGCAGCTGGAGGAAGGGATGCAGGCCACAACTCCAGTTGGCTTTGCAGTTGAGAAACATGCCCTGGCTTTTGTACTTTAATGGGTTTGAACTGCATCAGGCCAGGGATGAAAACAAACCCTGTAACAAAGCAGGTGCTTTACACACAAGGACATCTAACTGCTGTTAGCCCTCCAATTAAAAAAAAAAAAAAAAAAAAAAAAAAAAAAAAAAAAAAAAAAAAAGTTTCCATTTAGCCCAGTGACCAAAAACTTGAAAGCATTTCTCCCTCAAGAATGGACTTCAGTTCTGGACCACAGGAAGCTCTTATAATTTCTGGGATTCACAGCACAAATTTGCAGACAGTTTATCACTTCTAAGTACAGAACTCTGGCCAGTAAAAAAATTGTCAAGGATCCAAATATCCAAATAGTTATAATCCAAGAAACAACCTTGAGAGATAAAAAACAATTCCTTTATGAGTAATTGTCATAGTGAAAAAGGAAAAGGCATTTTCATAATTGCTTTCACTGAAGTCAAGGATTTTATTATGCAAAACTGAATTCTGAATTGTGGCAAGAATAGTGTTTAGTATCACAATGTAAATAGTGTTTAGTATCACAATGTAATTAGCAAATGAAGTTCAGAGGTTACATTTCCAGAATCACATTAATGGTAAATTTGGAGTGCACGGAACACACATGCAATGTCTTCTGGAAGTATTGTAACAGGAATAGGAAGTTGAGTTAAAACTACCCTAAATGTCTTCATATCCCATCTATTACAAAATAGGGGCTCAGACAGTTTTTAAAAGTCATCCCATCCACTATAAGGAGTTGGAATTCTCCTTCTTTCACTTATAAAGATGCCTCTTTATCCTTTATTCAAACTAAGAACGCTCAGAAGATATAGGACTTTAATTCTCAGTGGGACTTGATGATGACAACTTAATAAAGAGCCTCTGATTCTTGGGACCAAGTCTGTCACTATTTTTTCTTGCTTCTTTCATAGTTCTGCTCTTAAACTAGAGAAGAAATCCTAAAATCATTCTCTGGCTTAAAAGAACCTTCAAATTAACTTTGCTGGTTTTGGTGTTGAGCCACTGAGAGGACTAGAAGTAAAGCTCTCCTTTCTGAAATGCCTTTTTAGAAGGAAACAACAGTCTTAAGTCAAATCTCTGTATCTCCAAACATACGATGACTGAACTTAAAAAATTAAGTCACTAGTCAGTTCAATACTTTGCTTAACTGAAAGTTCCATATTTCCAGAAGAATGAAATAGGAAAAAACAGATAAAAATCACAGCAGCAATAAAAAAAAAATATAGTGGCTTAATGCTATTTGTGAAAATAGCACATAGCCTCCTTTTACTTCCTGTTTTCCTCTACTGACTAAAAGAAGAGGACCAGATTAAAGTCTTAGAGCAGAAGTGCTCATCTCTCTCCAGTTTAGAGCCCACCTTTGGGTTTGTCTAGTCCAGCTGCTCTCAGTCATCCTGTCGCTGACTGCTAGCTTTCCCCTCATACATATACAGCACTCCTGCATCCATATGGTAAACCCACTGCTCCTAAGAAACATTAGACCCAGTGTTCCTGTACAGAAAGTACACAAACTGCAGGAGGTGACTCATCTGTCACAGGGTCAAAGAATGGTCCTTGCTTTGCCAGGGAGACAGGTGAGTGGTCCACCCAGATGAATTGAACAAAAAAGTAGTTTAGTCTTTGAGCTTCATAGAGACAAGATACTGAGAGTGAATTCTTAGTCAGCATTTGGTACACCACATGGAAGCCAGAGGTTCCAAAGGGAATGATTTTATCCCACCATTCACAAGAATTCTTGCATAAGCACATTCTGCTGGTTTACATATGGCTTATTGCCATACTTGGTCACATTCAAAACAACTGTAACCACACATTTAGTTGTAAAGATTTCCAATGCAGGAGCACCTAGGCTTACATTCACACTGTTACTATAAATAACAATTCTTTATTTTAATAGAACACAAAGAAAAAAGCTAATGGGTCTTTATGGAATTCAATTAAATATGCACAATGCCTCCAGCTCTTCACCCTGGAGTTCAAAAGGAATTATGGAAAAAGTCTATTGACCAGAGGAAAGTTATTTGATTGTAACTGAACAAGGATGACAAAATAGCAAATGTCACTAATGAAGATTAAATATACCAGATAACAGCAGTAATATAGTATGAACTAAATAAGTAGCTTTATTTGTCAGGAAATTAGAATTCATGGCATCCAAACAAATGCTTTTCGCTAACATTTTTTAGTAATAAAAAGCAAGTTAACAAAAGGTCACAATTAAAATGGAAAGATTCACTAATATAACTATAAACCCATTAGTATCAATCTGGTTCCTCTAGAAACCACATCTTTCCTTTGTTTTACTGTATAAAAACAAACTTGACATTTCATCATGATTAACTTACCCGTGGGCTATTTAATGCATTTCTAACTACTGCCTTTCTACATATTAACTTGAGAAACAGCACTTGAAATGCCCCACATTAGTATGTGAAGAAAAGACTTTCTACCTACGTAAGAATGCAAATTGCTTAGCAATCACATCCCCAAATTTAGTTCAGATTTCTTTATAGGCAGAAGATTTATACCTACCTTAAATTGTCCATATAATGAAATCATTGAGAAGAAGAGGACAACTGCCAGAGGACCCCAAAAGTCTGGATTGTCTCTCACTACCTGCCTATTGAACCCAAGAGATGGCATAGGCATCAACACACATCGAATTTTGTAGTAAATATCCTTCAGATCAATGTCGAGTTCTTCCCTGAAAATGTAAAGCAACTGAGCATTACTATACACCACAGTAATGAAATACAGCTAAAAAAATAAGTACAAGAGGTTTATAGAGCAAGACTCCTGTCAGCCACAAGGCTTTCTAAAGCCATGACTAGCAAAGGAACACTTTGTCCACAATAAAGCAACACCATACCTTCATGTTGTATTCATTAACTGGTGGGACACAGATTTATTTAATTATTCAAAAACAAATTACATGACTGAGAACAGAAAATATACACAGCATACCCAGACCAGGCTGGATGGGGCTCTGAGTAACTTGGACTGGTGAAAGGTATCCCTGCCCAAGACAGGGTGGGTGGTACTGGATGATCTTTAAGGTAGCTTCCAACCCAAACCATTCTAGGAGTCTGTCCCTGAGATTCCCTGACAGCCTGCATTAAGATAGGAGGTCTATTTTTCAGACACACTAGGACATGTGACACATTTGTATCATTGTAACTACAAGTCAAAGACATGCATAGATAAAGAATGTCTGTGCATTTCTATGCCAAGCAGTTTGCCATGAGCGCATTTACTATGAAAATACTTTATTTCAAATTCTGCAAGAAAGAATACCATTACATTCATTAATCTTAAACCATTCCAAATACATCACGTAAAACCAATATTTAAGTTTTTGTATTTATTTTGTATTTTGTACTGATTTTGTATTTGTATTTTTTATTTAAGTATTGAAGGAAGTTCTTCCTTCAAGAACAATAGCTTTCAACAGACCAGTTTGCTCCTGTTGTTTAATTTCTGGCTCGTTTCCACTGTGGGTAAAATAAATAGAAGTCACTTGAACTAGCAGCAATATGTATCAACAGATCTTCCCTTCTCTCAGTGCCTTCTCTGCTTCCTGTTACAAACTCTCTGCAAGCGGATACAAATTGGCCAGAAGACTCTTCTGCCCAGGTCTCTGATCTGGTACGTGTGGCCCTGACTGAACTAGCCTAATGAGAATGGAATCAGACTTCCAAAGTAATGGGCAATTCCACTCCTTTATGTGCAAAACCTCAGTCATGACTGAGGAGCTCTGAAGAGTTGCAAGAGATTTCCAGCAGATATACCGCTCCATATTTAAGAACACAGTGAAGAAAAAGGTAAAATTATATTCTAAGTCCATTTATGAAGGTTTTGATTTTTTGGCTTTTTCTTCAGAAAAGCTGAACTCAGAAATAAGTGCAAAGATATGACTCACCACAACTTCTGTTTAAAAAAACAAATACTGCTAATTCAGCCTCTCAAGGCAATTCCTGGATTTCTATTACTAAAGCTACTTCAGAAGAGGTATTACTAACTGGTGACTAAGTAACAGAAATTGTTCTTTAACCATCCCTGAATCTAAGGAATAGACTAGAAGCATCTATTTGCCACCATTTACTTAAGAAGGACATAGCAGACCTATACTTTATTGAGAAGACTTTGTAACACAAATCTTTGCTGCATGAAAATAATTCTTTCTCATTGTCTAGGTCTTCTGACAGTTTCTCATGTGAATAAATTGTCTTTTGCATGAAGCTGACAGCTACCTCACCTGAAAATGATGGTAGCTGTATCAGGAAAGAAGTGTCTGGAGTAAGGCTGCCCAATGAAAAAGTAAAAAAAAAAATAAATCTCACTTTATGGAACAAAACATTTGCACAGTAGCACTGTGTTGGTGAACTTCCCTTAGCAGGCTGCTGTTCTTTCAGTCCTTAATAGGATTGTAAGAATTCATTATGACACATGTTTCTGGGAATAATCAAAACAACAAAATTACACAAAAGTCAGAATTCCTATGTTGTCACCTCACTACACCAGTCTGTTTCTTAATTAAAAGTTAAGAGGTTCACAAAACAGACTTTTTCACACAAGGAGCTACTTCTGCAAACTTTAATTTAAACCAGTTCTCAAGTAGCACTGTCATCATTAAGCTCTCCAGACATCTGTTGTCTCCCAGCACTCTCATCTGAGTTCTTCAGAGTACTCTGTCTCACTCCAATTTTTTAAAGCATCATTATGTTTAATTCACAAGAAAACACTGAGACACTGAGAATGAAGTTGCTTAGGTGCAGAACAAGGACCAGGCTGCCTGACTCAGTGTAGTAACCTTAAGGTACAAATTTTCTTCAGCCAGCCACATTTCTGTGAACAGAACAATGGATGTGAGACTTTCAGTTTTAAGGCCATTATTGTCTTTCAGCATGAGCACCCTTTAAATCTAGCTTTATAGTGAAAGGCAGCCTCAAAGATTATAAAGTTTGTGCTACCTTGGTTATAGCATCCCTACTGTAATAACCATGATTCACAATGCTTTTGCTTCAGACTGACAGAATTGACTGAGATTTACTTAAAAGGAATCTTCCCACGGGATTGTCTTAGCCTTTGATTTTTGCACAATATCAAGAAATATGAATGCAAAAGATACAAAGAATACAGTCTCATTTTTTTAGAACCTTTACAAGATCAACAGTTAAAAGCAAAACAGACATAAAAGCTTTATCCTTATGGAGATTAAAATCTATAATGAGAAACAATGTTTCCATTCTTGTACCATAAAACCAGAAAACACTCATTGGTCAAGCAATTTGTAAAACAATTCTAGTCACAGCACAAGGCTGTGGGACAATGAGAGACTACAAGTTGTTTGTTTTCCCTACACAGCTAAGATAGATGCCCAAGAATAATTAGCACATACAGGAGTGGCTTGTTATCTTCTGGGTCATCATCTTCCACTTCCAGAAGCCAGCCATATCCTCTCTGTCTTAGGAATGTAGTCGCAGTAGATTCTTTGATGAATTCTCCTCCAAGATTTAGCTTAACATCTGGAGTTGTTATGGAACCACTAAGATCTAAAGAAAAAGGGAGAAAAATATAGACCTTTTTATGTCTTGCCAAAAGCCATTTGATTTTAAAAGTACTGGAAGATAACAAACATATTAAGCTACACCTGTTGGTCATCACCATAAAACATTCAAAGTTACAAAACAAAATGATACTTTCACAGATACATAATTTGAAAGTGTACTTGTGATCTTATTGCAATAGTAACAATGTTGGGTTAGGTCTGAAATACCAGGTTTTAGCTTTTCCATGGGACTCATGTTTTATGACACGGTGGTGGTACAACAGAAAGGCTTCCATTTGTGCTTTATCATTAAGTGTTTAAAGGCACAAAAGGAGGACACTGAGAGTCTCATCAGGCTATAAATTGGGAACTATTTATAATTTTCTCCTGATCATACTCTACCTCTTTTGGCACCCATTTTTTTATGGTGGCATTGTTTCAGCCAAAACCACTCTCTGATTTTATGTCAAATTTTCCATAAAAGGAAAACATTTGAAGATGTTTTAATTTGTAGCCTGCCTTCAATGCAGCTGAAAATGTTAGACAAAGAATGCTATCGGAGATCCTTAGGCTCTAGACAATAAGAATACCAGTTTTCTTTGACATACTATGATCTCTCTCTATCACAGTACTAAGCAAAACAAAGAGCAATTTATCTGGTTGGTTTGGGCAAAATTGCAAGTAAATATTAATATTTTTTTGCTCATTTTATTCAGTTATATATAGATGGAAAATAAAAAAAATAAATATAGGAAAGTAAATTAAGCAACTTGATGACAGAGAAAGATACATAAGAAGTGAATAATTCTTCCTTTAGGAAATAATGGATTTCCATTATCTGCTAAGAAGGAAAAATACAAACAGAAATGTGTAAATATTTTGTACAAGCTTACTATAAATATATTAAGAGATAAAGAAAATATTTTTTGCTTCTTCATCATTGTGTGTTTTTCACACATTGAAGTTCCTCAGCACAAATCTCCTGAAACACCTACCTATAGCAAGTGCTTCTGAGACACTCACAGAGACACATCAGGCCATATGTGTACATTACATTTGCTACATCCTCTTTGGAAATATTACAGTGTTATAGAAACAAAATTTGTACAATAACAGAATCTTAAGTTCTTTAGCCAACATGTCTTAAGTGTTCATTGATCATTCAGTATTGCAATTAATTCAACAGAATTCTTCCCAGACCAGTTTGCTAGGCCACTCATCAGATTCAAGCTTCTCCACAAATGCTTTTCAACTATTTCATAATCGTAAGAGTTACTGATCCATTCCTTTGATTCTTGGAACACCTTGTAAAGATCACCGTAACGTAAAGCAGGAATTTATTTCTCTTTGCTCCTCCCAGTCCCATCATGCATACACCATTCTCACCAGACTCAAACAAAGCCTTCCTCTGCTGTTTACAGAGGGAGGAAAAAAGAGAAACCTTAATGCCTGGGCATCAAGCTGAAGCCTCGGAAGTTTCCTCTTGCCTGCGGACCCTTATGTCATTACGAAATATTTGTTTCTGCTACAACATAACACTTCTTTGCGAGGATAGGTTCTTGCTACTCTGTGCATAAATGCAGCGGTCAAAAGAAGCAAACACAGCAATCCAACCAGCAGTTTTCTTTCTCCCTTCTCAGGGACCACTTACAATCCATCCTCAGACACAGATATTCCTACACATGTCGTATTTACCAAGACTACTTTTAGCAGTTGGTGAATACCTGCGATCACACTTTTGATTTACAAAATCTATGAACATAATCTTAAGTCTGTTTTGTGAGACCTAGGGGAAAAGGGATTGGTCACCTGCTAGAAGAGCAGCTTTGAATGAGAATTTTAACTGTGGGGCAACTGGGTGCTGGAAAATCTGCCCAGAACTGATGACACTGATGGTTCCTAACAAGAGTCTGGGTGCCTTCACTGATACTATCTCGGGCTGAGCACCACAGAAGCAAAACCAAGGTCTCTCAGATGCCTCATTTCAACAAACCATTGTAGAAAACCAGCTTTCAAAACAGTCTTGACTCTCAATTTTGAAAAAGCAATACAAGAGGCAAAACTCCAAACAATCTGCTCTTTCTACTACATCTGGTAGTAGATTGTGAACATCTCTCCAGCTTTCTTCCATGCAGCTCCTACATCCCACAGAAATAGGATGGGGAAACTGAACAGACAATTTTTAGTTTTTCATATGGATGGACATTTGGGAAACATGTAAAAATTAAGAGTGCAATGTGTAATACTTTAATTTTAAAACATCAAGATGTTTAATTTTGCTTATGTTTTCCTCTGCAAGGGTAGGTCTACCCAGCACTTTGAGGACAGGACTACACCTGAACAGGCAGGAGATCACACCTTGCTTGTACTCATAAAAAACACAGAGCCAAGTGTAATTCAACACAACCTACCAGAAAAGTGGCTTTACTGGACCAGGTTCGGCATTGCCCAACAAATAATTCCAGGGAAGAAGAAGAGAGCTGCTGCTCAGAGGTACATGGATCTTTTTCAGGCCAAGGTGAAGAAGAAAAAACTAAACAAAGGAAAACTAACCAGCAAAAAAACCTCAGAAAAAACCCAAAAAACACAGCCACGACTGTACTGTTGACTTGTATTTCTTTTCAGAAGGACTGTGAAGTTCACTAAAGAATAGGTGAACAATTCTAAATTACAATTCTACAGTAATTTCTCCAGCAATTCCTTTCCAGGGAGGGGTCACATGAGTAAGGATTTATACAATTCCCTAGTCACAATTATAAGAGTAACTAAATACATACATGAAAGTAGAATCCTTGTTATTCAAATGGGGAGAGACCGAAAAACAATTTTCCAACAAAGTAAGTTTGCACGATGTTGACTCCTGCACGTTCAGTTTCCAAGTTTGAAGGCACATCTTCACGGCATGCCGGTACAGCACTGCTATTTGTGCAGCAGTTTGGCAGCAGGCCACACTTCACCCCCTAAATTACATACACGGCTTCTTCCCTCATGACCGTGCTGCAATGACACACGGCGCAGACACTCGGGCACAACATTGCAGCAAACGTGAACATACGACACAATCCTCGTAAGACAACAAGGTGGGCTTCCAGCCACACGGGAGCCAGAGGAGCGGGCGGTGACAGCGGCCACGGCCGTGTCACGTAGCCGAGACAACCTCGGCTCCGGCTCTCGGAGGAGCTGGGGAGCGGAGCGGCACGGCCGCCTTTGCCACGCCGCTGCCGCTCCCGCGATGCGGACGCGGCACCGAGCGGGGCGCACCCGCGGCTGCGGCCCCCGGGCAGCGGCCACCTC